TGCAGATTCACAGAAAAACTCAACACATATTTGAGACAGTTGTTCTAGTGTAGGAATCACCAATTTGTACTAAAAGACATGGGGATGGTGTGAAATTAAAAAGTGACTTTGGACACCCAACATTTCACATACAGCACACAAGCTGGGGTTATTTTATTGAAAATGTAGTATTCTGTGTGTTTTTAGTGAAAGATAAAAATTGACTAAAAGGACAGATCACAGAGAGTGTAACCAAGAGTGGCAAAGGACAATTCCCACTTGAAGGCCAAAATACTACCGCAGAAGCTGGTGACATGAGCATGGGTGGTTTCTGTTATTGTAGTGGCAGTGACCTATGTGTGCCTGCTGTCCCTTCGTCTTTAGTGGATGTGTCTACAGCAGCTTCCCTGTACCTGTCCTGCCACTGAAAGCTGGAATTTGTGGGCCATAAATACATCTTCAGTTCACAGTTCCAGAATTATATCCAAGAAAACATATCTTCACTTGCATCTTAAATGATAAATACTTCACAGTAAGTAGATGTTGGGATGTGAGAGTTGGGGTGGGGCGGGGTATAGTTTGAACATTAGGAGTACTGAAGTATAACTTCAGGGTTGGGTATGGAAGGCTGCATTTTCTAAAGATGGCCACCAAAGTCTCTCCCATTCTCAATGTTTTTCTATAATATGACCTTGATATTTCTCCTATCAAAAGGACAGGCCTAGGTTCCTTTCTCCTGAAGCTTGATAGGATGCTGACTACAACAGAAGTAAAGGCTAGATCATAAAAGCTGAAAAATATTCATCTAATTCTTTGAGGGCTTCTCATAGGATCCAGCCACTATTCCACAAAGCAGCTGAAGAAGACCACATGGAGAGAAATCCAGAGTCCCGACCTACAGTTCCAGCTAAGCTCCAAGACAACAACCAGCACTAACTTGCCAGGTGTTCAAAGAAAACATTTTCAATGATTCTCTAGTCCTCAACTGAGTCCTCCCGATGCTGAAGCAGAGATTAATGCATTGCCAAGCCCTACTGAAATTTCACACTTAAGATTGAGATGTAAAATGTGTCCCCAAAGTCTTGTGTGCTTGGAAGGAGACTGGTTTATAGGAGTACCATATTCATCCAGCGTTTGTCCATTGATGAGTTTGGAGCTGACCATGCTGTTAGCAGGTGGACGACAGGGACTGTGATCCGAAAAAGTGTATATTGGACTTTATGCACTGTTTGCTTTATTCTCTGTGTGTTGGGCAACTTTTCGTCTACCATACACCTCTTCCGGGCTGTTTCTACCTTGAAGCCTGCCAACCATGGACTGAAACCATGGGCCAAAATAAACATCTCCTCCTTTAAGTTGTGAATGTTGGTTGCTTTATCCCAGTGATAAGAAAGTGACATACGCACTGATGAATAAAAAAAAATTAATGATGTTGTCTGAATCCACCAAGCTTGGGGCAAGGTGCTATATAACAATAAAGATAACTTTTATCCTGGCCTCGCCAGCTGCCTTCTGTTTCTCCTCATCCCTCATGAGTTTTTAGAAAATAAATCGGTTTGAGTCATATTCTAGACCTTCCTTTTTCCCTATTTAAGATTCTGCCATGGAGCTCGAAACATATGAAAGTCATAAATTATTTGTTAATATTACAGTAGCATAAAAAATTCACTGAGTAAATCAATTATCAAAATTGTTCTTAAAATTCTGATAGGCTCAATAATGGAACCCTGAATCATGAGAAGTGGATTCTACAGAACTGAGTTACCATATCTACTGATTTAATTATACATATAATTTAATTTATATTGTATATTAAATTTTCAAATGCCAAACTATTTTATACTTACTAATTGACAAATATCCCTGATGAAAACAACTTATGACTAAAGATACACAGTGTGGAAAACCACCACACATTTTTTCCACAGGCCAATAACATACTGTTTTGCCTAAACTTTATAGCTTGATTTTGGTAAGTACTGAACTATAAATATAAACAGAGTTCTGCTAGACCACATAGAAGTATAGTATTAAAAGAAATTTCCAATATTCTGAGAATAATATTTGTTCCAATTTTTGAAAATTTCATATTTTTTGTTTAATAGCCAGAGCAGTGTGATGAAGACACACACAGAGGAGAATTTCCAGAATTGCTTCAGAAAGCTTCAGGAACAAGGGATAAGTATGTTTGAAGCAAGGCAAACGTGGGGGAGGATTAATAACAATATATTATCTATTGTAATACATTTTTAAAACTCTGAGACACCATATCGTTTGATCATGCCTCATCTTACCTCAGAGTTTGGCAAGGTTGAAGACTGATGAGCCTGAAGTCAATGATTCTGCTTGACATTAGCTAAACCTAAAGTCAATGAACAAACTAATTACTGTGTCAGGTAAGGAAATAGAGAATGGTGGAGATGCTAGACCTGCAACAGGGATCAGAGGGGAATGGGAAAAAGTCTGTGGGTTCCTTGTCCCAAGAGGTGACCAGACTTCCATGAGGAAGCTAGCTAGTAAACAGGGGGGACCTTAGGGACCCTGAAAAAAGACTTAGAGTGAGAACTAAGGTGATTTAAAGCTAATTAAGAGATATGATATTTCTCACACACCTGGGGAGGCTCATTCAAAAGTGTCACAACCTCATTGAAACAAAATTAGAAAAGTGCATGGAATGTTCAGTAACCCCATGTGCAAGACTGGGACTTCCAGCAAATTTCTGACAGAGTTAGGGGGCATTTCAATAGCTTCTTAATGGGCTCATTACAAGGATATGAATGACCTCATCATGCTTGGTGAGATAAACTCAAAACACTTTCACTCTCAGGCAGACAGGAACTTCTATGTTCAATGTATTTATATATCCACCAAAGGAGTAAAGCAGTGTATCCTCAGTTGGTAATAAGAGGAAGTCTTCTAAGTGACTTGACTATGGGCTAAGCTTTGCTGGGAATCTTAAAATGTAGTGAAGAAAAAGAAAAAGTGAGTCAGGGTCCATGAAGCAAAGATAAAAGCAAGAGGAAGGGAAAATCGGAGAGCTGCTTCAAGATTTGCTGAAGAATACGGGTCTGCTTAAAAGATTTTCCATAAATGGAAGAAGTTCCAATTCTTTCACTAGTCTGCAGCAAAAAAGCTTTTAGTATCTTACAGAAGTACATGAAATAAATGGGAGCTGAACTTCAGGAACAAAAGCTAAATACCATAAAAGGCTTGAAATACTTTTTCTTAGAAAGGACAGGATTTTAATTGTATCAAGTCACCTTATGAATATGGAATGGATCAAAAAAAGAGTAAGCTGAACTTTCATAATACCTCCCCAACACATCAGTATTATACCATTCTAAAACACTTAAATATATACCTATATATTTTATGTGAATCACAGTTCTATATTTTTATATCACACTGTTTTAAAGAGTTTCAATAGGAGCTCACACTACATAATTTTTTGCAAGCCCACTATGCTTCTGTATTTTTGTAGTGTTTAAATGCATTATGCATTGCAATTGTTCCAGCACACAGATGTGGTGTTTTACCATGATGGTAAATCACTTTAGTAGCTTTTTTCCCTGTTATATTAGCAATCAATGCCAATTTGTGCATGTTAGAAAAACTCTAAAACATATAGGTAACAAAATAAATACTGCCTGTAATATCAGCTTTTACAAATAATTCATCCTAACATATTTTTGATCTTAACAAATATTTATGAGCACTTCCAAAATGCCCAGCTCCTGTTTTAGATGGCAGAAACTCCATTCTTTCAGGGATAAGAGAGCAAAAAATAAATCTACAAAGAAATAAATAATATGAAACACTAAAAATACTATGAAGGGTAAAATGGCTTAACATGTTAGTGACAGAGTGACAAGTAGGGCTAGGAAGAACTTAAGCTAGCACACAATAGTGGGCCACTCAGACGAGATAACTTGATCAGAGAACCAAGTGAAGAGAAAGAAGCTGGCATGGCAAGACCAAAGGAAAGATCGCACAAACATTTCAGGAACATAGAACAACACGGAATGATTTTTTTTGGACTAAAAGAAATAGAAAGTAGGTCAGCATGACCAAAGCCTAGAAAAAGAGACAAAGTCAAGGGAAAGGTAAACAGGTCCTGATGGAAAGGAAGTTGGGTTTCATTTTGTTTGCATTGAGGGAATCTTGGGATCTCTTCTAAAAAGAGCTGTTCTGTACAGGTGAGATCACAGCACATAAAAGTCAAGGTGAGTCTACTTGTCAGGAAGTAGCTACAGAAGTTAAAGTAACACGGATGAAGGAGTGGTAAGATTGGGGTGTATTTTGCATAAAGGTCACATAAATCACTATGAAGAGAGACCAAAATATGAAGAAAAGAAAGAGATCAAAGGTTATGCTCAGGGCTTTGGTCTGAACAACTGGGGGCACATTACTTCTATTCATAGAGTAGCAAAAGGTCATAAGTAAAGTTGTTTTCCACACAATGAGAGGTACATTATCAAAAGGAACTTTTCAATAGTTGGTTAGCCACCCTCGGAGATATGATTACATTTGAATTAGTATCTGAAATTTCTGATACATTCTTATTTATCCAGCTAAATAGTTTCTGATCTTTCAGCTTTTCTATTTGTTTAGTAAGGTCTTATTTTGTGGATCAATGGTAGCATTACTTTTTAATAATATAAAAAGCACATTTTTGCAGTGCTGTGATGATCATGTATTATATATAAATAAAGGTAAATATGTTTCCAACCAAGTAATCCTAAAAATTTTCAGATTTAGCTATATTTATATGGCTTGGCCACCTTTATTTCTTCTTTTTTATGGATGACTTTGGTACCTTGCTTATGTTCCAATGTGTGCAATGCTAGAAGAGTTGTTTTTCTCATTGACTAGGAAAAACTTTTTATATTAAGAATATTAATCTTTAATGTATAGATAACCTACACTTGTCATTTCTCTTTCAATTTTTAGTGTTTATAATATGCAAAAATATTTGAGTTTTGCACTAATATATGGTATTAATATTTCTTTACTAAATATGGTATTAATATTTCTTTACTAAATATTCATCTATATTTACTTTGAAAATTTACATTCAGTTATGGTTTGTGTCTGAATGTCCCTCCAAAGCCTCATGCAGTCATGAGAGGTGGGCTTTTTGGAAGTGGCTGAATCCAGAATTTGTGACTGGTTCATTGTCTGGTACTAGGGTTGGGGTGTGAGTGTTACACCCACCTTACCGTGCATATCCTGCATACAATATAAGGGAGGAAAAGAGGCTTGCTCCTGCTCCCTTCCACTTTTGGTGCATTTGCTGTCTTCTAGCACCATGAACTGTTGCCCCTCTGCCATGTACCACCCTACCTTGAATCCAGCTGAATATAGACTGAAATCTCTACCAACTGTGAACTAAATGAATCTTTCTTTCCTTTGGGTGTTGGGTATTTTATCTCAGCAATGAGATAAAAGTAAGCACCTTCTCACCCCATTTGAGACTAAATCACTATTCCTGAATTTTTTTTTTCTGTGGCCTTGGGTTCTAGAGACTTGGTCCTCTGCTTTCACAGGAGTAACTCATTATTGCTGATAGTTCCACTCCTGAGTGCTCTGGTACAAGATCTTCACTGCTCACACACTGAGAGACAGAATCATCTGACAGCTAGAAATGTTGTCATTTTATTATCACACATTCCAGAAATGAAACCATTGGATCAATTCAAAACATCAAATCAACTCATTAGGGGTGAAAGCAAAACAAAACCAAGCAAGCAATGAAAAAGAGGAAGGACGAAAACTGAATACAAATGTAAGTTAAACTAACAGTTTGTCAAGCGGTTCACATAGATACATAGAAAGAATACTAATTTCAAATATTTCCACCAAAAGGAGCCAGGTATTTCTAAATAAATGTCTAACACCAGGATACAGGAAAAGCATAAAATGAGTTTAGGTTTTATATTCAAGCAAAAAATGGCTCACAATTTGATATTATTAGGTCATGATGCAAAAAATGCATGATCCAACTTGAACAGAGTCATACTGGAAAGTTACTAAAAAGCAAAAACAAACTGTAAGTTCCCAAAGGTACTTGAGAGAGCAAGCGAAAAGTTCTAGTTTTGCAAAAGAATTTCACTTAGTGAACACATGATGAATGATAGACTTGAAATTTTTTTAAAAAATTAAACAAAGTTACAAAACATAAACAGAAAGTCAAATCCCAATACATTTGAGTTATATATCATGAAACAAAACCATCTAATTTCAAAATGAGTAATATTTCCTACAAAATAACACACAAAGAGGAGAAAATATCTCATTTCTTTTGATTCAGCTGGGCTTAGAACAGTTCAGATTGTACATAAACAACCTCTAATCTGAGCCAAAATAACAATGTTCCTGTACTTATGTTTTGTGTACAAATCAGCAAGTGAGAATTCTAAACTAGAACCAAGGGTGTGAGGGAATCTCTACCTCTCCCACTGATACCCCAGGCAACCTCATTGCTTGTCACTGGAGGGCAGGCAGAGAGTGAGCCCAGACAAGGTGTGCTGAGCAGAAAAGTCCATCTGGCAGAGAAAGAATCTAGAGCCAAGGTGAGGTGGGCTTAATTAGTAACCCCCTTTTCCTGCAGCTCCCAAGGTTCCTGCTGTGGGGACTTCCTGTTGCTTGGATTTCCTGCTGCTGGCCACAGCTTCAACAGAGAGGAGGAAATGAAGATTTGGAATTATTCATTAGCAGGCTGAAGGCTTACACTATGGAACACCTGTCAAATGCTAAACAAATAGCTTCAGTAGTTTCTAAAATCAGATGATTGATGGACAGTATAGCTGTTCTTTGTAACCTTACAAATAACACAGCATTTTGCCATTAAATCATATGTTCTTTTAAGACAGAGACTTTTTTTCCTTACCACTTGTGGTAACATGTGGACATGGCCATCGTTTTAAGAGGAAGTAATTCTGGGAGACAGAGAAGGACAGAAAAATTAAAGACCATGTTTTAAAGGGTATATATGAGCAATGCACTGAAGATAATGTAACCAGTCTCTGTACATGTCTGTGATCTCTAATTTCTCTTTATCCCACTCTGTCCTAAAAACCTCTCCACCATATCACACTTCCACTTTTATTCCTGGATCTATCTACTGCCTGTGATTACTAGCATGAACTCTTCAGGTACCAATTGTAAAAAGACAATACAATTAGTTATAATATTTTATAAGCTTGATTCAATAGAATTAGACCATAACCATTCTATATTTAAATGTAATCCCACCCCATGTCCCAGATGTGAAAATACAACATCCTTTTTTTATTGCTAACTGGTGCCATTATGGTTTGGATTTGAAATGTCCTCCATAATTCGTGTGCTAAAGATCTGGTTGCTAGTCGATGGGCTTTTTGGAAAATGACTGACTCATAAAAGCTCTAACTTTGTCAAGTGGATTACTTCACTGATGAGATCATAATCTTATGGCATTTTTGGTAGGTGATGGAAACAGGAGATGGTACAATTTGAAGGCTTATGGAGTTGCAATCTTGGAGGCCTTAGCTGGTCCCCAGCTCTGTCATCCTTGTTCTTTTCCTTTCCTGCTTTCCAGCTTCCATGACCTGAGAGGTTCCCCTCTACTTCATACTCCATGTCCACCATGATGTTCTGCCTCACAGTCAGCCTGGAAGCAAAGGAAGGAAGTAACCATGGGCTGAAATCTCTGAACTCATCAGCCACAATAAACATGTCAAACTCCACTATAAGAACATTCATAAAAAAGGGATAAGAACGGTAGGACTTCTTATACTAAAAGACAGAATTACCTGCAGTCATAAAATTTCTGGCTAGAATGGGAAACTCTGATCATCCTGTTCAACACTGAATGACCCTTCTTTGCCTTTGTAAAGCCTCTCTTCTCAGTTGCCCATTAAAAAAGACAGGATAGGTGAGATTCTGATGACTGAAATACATGAGTTCCTCCATTGCCATTATGTATTATGAAAAAACTGTACTTGGTTTCACATATCCATGTGTCCTACTCAAAGCTACCCCAAATAGTGACATAAATTTCTTAAAAATGTACATTTTATGTAATTCTCACACTTAGGTTGATCACATTCAATGGAAGCTACTTGAGCAATCATTTAATCAACTGTGGAGCTGGGAACTGAGCCCAGGCAGTCTAGCTTGACAGTCTGTGCAATAAATCACTACATTATATACATGATCACCATCAAATTGAGAGCATTATCATGGTATCCTAGACCAGATAGGGAGAAGAGCTCAGGGCAAGTTACCTATTATTAATATTGTTTAACTGTGGGTGCCTTTGTGCATGCATAAATCTATCATACATATAAGACAGATTCATATCACACATACACACACTCCAAATGGAGCCTTGAATGTTCAATCTCTAAAACACTAAACCTACAAGGAGCAAATAGTCCCATGGAAGAAGATTAATCTCATTTCTAATTTACAGTCCATTTTACATTTATGATCTGATATCAACTGCTGTCAATCTTTATTTTGTAATATTTCCCTGAGGTACTGACCATCAGCTAGCCTCTTTCTGGAGAACTGGAACTCCCCACTCAAAAATTTGGGCAGAACTCACCACATGTGTGCTGTCTCTGATCCAGGTCTGACCAGAAAACACTTCTGTTTCATATGAAGTTAGGAGTTCAAAAATGTGATGTTGTCCTTCCTGCAGGCAGCCAGCACAGGTTGGCTGAAAGAACCAGCAGATCAGCCTCTGCCTGCTGGTAGTTGTCCCTGGGAAGGCTGCTTCCTGCAGGCAGCCAGTGTGGATAGAGAGTCAGCGGAGCTACCTCTGTCTGCCAGAGGCAGCCACCAGAAGCCTCTTTCCTGCAGACAGGCAACACAGGCAGACAGAGCCATCAGATCCACCTCTGTCTGCTAGACATGGCTACCAGTAGGCTGCTTCCTGCAGGCAGCCAGTAGGACCAGGGACATGCAGCTAGGTAAGCCCTGTGCCCGCCCCACAGATTGGCAGCCAAAGTGGGAAGTGCCTGGGGCCCCACAATGAGCTTGTTTGGAGGAACCCAGAAGAATGTCAAGATGAAGGAGCAAAAGGCAACCTCATACCTCCATCCCACAAAGAACAAGTCTGGGAAATACAGTCATGGAAGAAAATTGAAGTCATATAACTGAAATCTCTGAGAGGATACCAACTGAACTAAAGAAAAAATTCTATCAGATAATAAAAGTAAGCAAATCATAAATGTCTTAGATTAAAGAAGAAATCACCAACATAATGAAAGAAATGCTCAGCATATCTAAAGAAGACAGAGACAATAAATAGGAGCATAGGAAAATGATAGAAATTTTGAATGAACAATATAGAAAGGAATTATAACACATGAAACAGACTCAAAGAGATATCCAGGAAATTAAAAAGTCAATCCAAAATAGCAAAACTCCTGAAAAGAGACTGAAGATAGACTTTCAAACCTTGCAAATAGGATTAAAGCTAGTGATTGTGAAAGGAAAGATATCTTAAAAATAATACAGAATCAGGAAATAATTCAACGGCTGCAAGATGACACAAAGAAGCATAACTTAAGAGTGATAGATATTACTGAAAAAGCAGAGGTCAACAAAAATGAAACTAAAAGGTTATTTACAGAAAAGGGAAAAGGATCAGGCACACAGAGAAGTGAGGCATACAGAACCCCAAATAGCCATAACCAAAGTAAATCTATACTCAGACATATAATAATCAAGATCCCAGAAATTCAGCATAAGAACAGAATATTAAAAGCTGTTGGAGAAAAGAAACAGATCATCTATAAAGGAAAACCCATCAGAATCACAGTAGACTTCTCAACATAAACCATCAAGTCAAGAAGAGTTTGGAGTGAAGTGTTTCAAATCCTGAAAGTAAACAACTTCCAACCCAGATTGATCTACCCTGCAAAATTCTCTTTCAATGTTGATGAAAAAATAAGATACTTCCATGATAAAGAACAACTGAAGGAATTCATAACCACCAAACCAACTCTACAGAGAATGCTGAAAGATATTCTAGAGAAAGATAAAAATGATCACGATTCCAGGAATAGCAGCAGAGAGGATCGCCACACAAGACAAGCAACTAAATGGAGAGAAAAAGTGGAAGGCCAACAGCAGGAGGATAGCATGGCACAGACAAACCAATGTATGCTGGTTGTAACCATTAATTGTAGATGGCCTCCGGTCAGCAATAAAAAGAAACACAGGGAGAGTGGATCAAGAAATAAGATCCATCAATATATGGTATACAAGAAACACATTTAACTGAAAAGGAAATTCATAGACTGCAAATCAAAGGAGAGAAAACAATTGTTCCATGTGATGGGAGACCAGAAAAAAAAACAAGGGTAACTTGCCCATCAATTGAAGAATGAATAAGAAAAGACATGGTATTTTCATACAATGGAAAGCTATCCAGTTGTAAAGCAGAATAATTTCAAGGCTTTTATAGATAAATGGATGCAACTGGAGATCATGTTCATGGGCAAAACAGTTTGAACTCATAGGGGTGAACCCCAGCATAAAAAACAGAAGGAGTTAATTGGATCCAAAAAACCAAAATAGTTATTGTAAAAGTGATAGAAAGGAAATACTGTTGTACTCTAGAAAAAAAAATAGCTTCCTTATATGTGTATTATAGCAAAACCTGTAACGCCGGCCTACTGTGTATGTGTTTTCCTTTTCCCTCTGTATGACCTAATTGATATGTTAATCAATGTCCCCCCCCCCCGTAAAGAGTTGTAAATCCCTAAAAACTTAGCCTAATTGATATGTTAACCATTGTTGCCCTCTACAAACAACAGATGTGGTGCTAAAACAAGGTAACAGGGGTTGTTAATCACTGTTAGACTTCTCTGTTCTCTGCTGAAAAAAACCAGGATGTTTCCCTGATTTAAACTTGTTTGAATAACTTGCTTGTATACAGGGAGACTTACTTGTTAGCACAACCCTTACCTGACTTTGCTCTCCCCAAGGAATGTAATCTTGCCATATTTTCTGTTCTGTAATGCTGCACTGCCTTCCCCCTTTCCCTACCTAGTGGTGGTCTGTCATAAAATGTGCCTGCGCTGTTCTTAAGAAATACTTAGCTTCAAAGAAATTACAGGAAAAAGTTGTGGCTTAATCCTAATGCACCAAAAGGGTTAAGTTCCAAATCCTTGTAAAAACTTAAGTTTCAGCTTCTTGTAACTTTCCACCCCTTCCCACATGTTAGTGTTAACGGGCTGTCCTGAGATAATTAACTTTCTACTTTCTTCTCCAAATGTTATTGCAGATGTGCTATTCCAAGATAATGCTTATCTGCAGGATGGGAGTAACTTAAAAGGCACCAAAAGCTCCCAAGACTGTCAGAACTAAGTGGACAGCTTTACAGTTTCCAGACTTGAGTCAATAGCTTGACGGCTCTGTGGGTTTCTTTGTTTCTCCCCCCCCCCCCTCCTGCTTTTTAAAATCCCCTTCCTTCAGTCTCTGGCGTGCAGTCTCGAAATTGGCTCCTGGAGACTCATCGCCAGGCCTGGCATAAATAAAGTCTTTGCTCCCCAAATTTCAGTCTCTTGCTTCCTTGGATTTTATACCGGGGCCCGAGTTATTAAAAATACCAGGGAGGGAAAGGTAGCTACTGTCAATTTCTGATTGTCTTGTCTTGAACTCTTATATTGTTTTCACAATTTTGTTAGGTTTGGCTTTGTTCTGTCTTGTTTTGTTAGATTTTATTTGTCTGATGGTTTGGGCAGCTATTTTGAACATAATGGTATGTATTATGATAAACATGGTTAATTTCTTATTATCTTGTTTTTGAAGTCTTATCATGCTTTCATTCATTTGTTTAATTGGTTTTATTCCGTTTTGATTTTATTAGTGTGATTGTATGAACATCTATTTTTTTAGAAAACAGAACATTACGGTAGCCATTGCTGATTTTCTATCACCTTGTTTTGAAGTCCTATCAAGCTTTTATTCTTTTTCTTTGATTGGTTCTATTCTGCTGTGTTTTGATTTTATTACGTGTGATAGTATAGACAACTTTTTTTAAGAAAACGAGATATGATAGTAACCACTGTTCATTTCCTATTAGCTGGTTTTGAAGTCCTGTAATGCCTTCATTCTTTTGATTGGTTTTATGGTATTTTGTTATGTTTGATATTATTGTGTGTGAAGATATGGACAACTATTTCAAAGAAAACATGAGACATTATGGTAGCCACTGTTGATATCCTGTTGTCTGTGTTACTTCCACTCTTCTGTTCTGATTTGCTTTGTTCTGGTCTGTTTTGTTTTGTTTTATTCTCTCTAAAATTAAAAGAAAGTGATGTTACCTGAGCCAGCCCACTGAGACACCAGAAATCAGATGGGTACTTAGGGGTAGCCCTCTGCAGGATCTTTCTCTTCTGGCGAAGCCCAGCTATAAGGGTAACAGAAGTCTGGAATTTCGAGGGGTCTTCTTTATGTCCAGCTGTACAAAGAGCATGAGCCTAGAGGAGAGGATTTCCAGAGCAGCAAGTAAAGAGAAGAAGCACAGTATCCTGATAACATGGGGGAAACCCTTGAACTCTGCTGATTCTGATGCCATCTCTATCCCTGGAATATCTCAAATACTGAGCCAGAAGATTCCTGATTTTCTCAAGCTGGTGGTTTCTGCTGGCTTTTCTATCACTACACTAAAATCAAAGACTCCTCAGTACCCTGCCTGTATTTTGATTCATTTCAATTTAACAGACATATGAATTGAGGGCCTACTGAGGGCTAAACACCATGCCGGGTTGTGGGGCGGCAAATATGAATACACAGAGTCTAACAGCTTGAGAGTACTGTGCTTTGCAGTAAATCTCCAGCCTTAGCTGGTCACATGCTATTTTCAAATCACAGGTCATGGATGTCTGTACTGACCCCATTTCACTGGACCAGAACAGTCATTCTGAAGGGCAAGAAAAGAGAATAATAGCCAAGTCATATGCGTGCTTAAAAAAGAAAAACCTGGCAGAATGCTTTTATAGACTAACAAACAGAGAATAAAATTATCTTTAAGAAGTTACTCAATGAGATGCAGAATACATCTAGAACACAATAGTAAATTATTGAATATATTATTCAAAGCCTCCTGCACTGAAAATAACAATGTCAAAAATAAACCAATGTTAAATCTGTTTAATAACTATGATGGCCGATAACAGAAATGAACACAAAGAGAACATGAAACATGGGAACTCAATAATTTAGGAGTTCACTTAGATATTTTTGTAGTTTGAATAATTTACTTTGATACCATTAATAACTACTTATATTCAATCTCAAAATATATGATGAAAGAGCCTATTTTTAAAATTAACATAGATTTACTCAGTTCATAGTATGAAGTACCTTGGGGAAATAAAGTACTTCATAGTATGAAATACTTCAAGGCATTTGCTTAAGAGAAAGTGGATGAAAAGGAGTTAAGAAAAGTTATGCAAATATACCAACTCCCCACAAGGAATGTTAGCATTATGTACCACACACATATACAAATGAACTAAGATAATAACCAAGAACAAATCAAACATATGAAGTTAAAAAATAGATGAATTACATAGCAACACCCTTCATAAAATTAGATGAATCAAAAGAGACATTTTTCCCAAATCTCACATTAGTATCATTCACCATTTATAAATAAAAGTAATATTTTATTGCACAAGTTTTTAAAATAGATCCTAGCAAAGAGGTAAAATAAGAATTAGCATACTGCAGAAGTTTTACAGAAATAAGCTTGATAGGCATGCCAAGGCTGTCAAGCACCACAGAAGCCACGTTCAGCTTCCACTCCCACTTCTGTGAGCCACTCAGTTGTGTGTGTCACTCATCAGGTGCCATGCACCTGCAATCCCCTTTAATCGGTAAGGTTCTTGAAATTCGAAAGGAATTGCTCTCCTTTTGTCCAAGTATTGACTATTTATTTACAATTATTTTTGTACGAGGGATCAAACTCACAACCTTGTGCTCACCAGGCAAGCGCTTACTCCACTGAGCTAAATCCCCAGCCCTTCATCCACAAGTATTAAGCCAGAGAGGAATCTTATACTGGCATATAGTTTGATGAGCTAATTTGTTAGGTGGTATAGAGCTAGGAAAACTTCATTTCATCATTTGGAAGGTGCAATATGACACAGTTGCATTGAAAGGGAATTAGGGTTCTGTTATCAATAACACTGTTAAGTCAAGGAGAAGGAAGAGTTGTACCAGTAGGAATATGTACTATAGCTAAGAAATCTGTGCTTTGCACTTCTCTTTATTTCTATATGCCAATGTTCAGTTTTGTCTCTCTACATTTTTCCTAGTAAAAAGAAACAGGCTTACCTGATCTGTGCTCAACAGATTTTGTCACTTTCCTGTCAAGGGGTCTTTGTTCTAGGTACTTCTAAGACAGCAGCCAGCTCATGATGAGGACCAGATGGGAACCAAGAACTTTTGCTGAGTCAGGGCAGCTCCTTGCTGCTGAGTCCCCAGGCTTCACCAGCCTCAGTAGCACAGAGCCACCGCGCAAAGCAATTCTCAGCATGGCACTAATGATTAATAATCAGCTTAATGTGTAACGGGCTCTCACTCAAGCCAGTAATATATCTTAAGTAAACTCAAAGCTAAGGGAATGGAATATTACAGTGGAATATCAGAGGTCTAAGCAGATCAATAAGCACTCTCAAATCAAATCAGTTTCATAACATATATTCCATCCATCATAAAAGCAAGTAGGTCTTGCTGACAAGTGAAAAATCACCCACAACCAGATGCCTTTCTCTTTTATACCATCTGATACTGTTACCTTTGTATCATAATACTGCACAATGTCCATAGGAAGGTACATCACACCCTCGAATGCTAATAAATATTTTATTTTTTGTTTTTTATTTTAAAGAGAAAAAATAATAAAAACGATACAGAATTTCAAAACAAGATGATAGGAAATTAACAATAGTTAATATATTGTGTTGCTCAGATTCCCCAAATTCAAACAGTCAATCCAAAAATGGGCATCTGAGATAAATACACACTTCTCAGATGAAGGAATACAAGTGACAAATAAATATATGAAAAATGTTCAACATCATTGGTCATTTGAGAAATGCAAATTAAAACAAGCTATAGGCATGCATAATTGATTAAACAATATAAGTGCAAAACATTTTCCTAATGAAATAAGAGAAATTGGTTGTATAACTTAGCTAACTGCATTTTTTATATATTTATTTGTCATTTGTATTTGTTTAACTGAGAAGTATATATTAATCTCAGGTGCCTATTTTTGGATTGGGTCTTTGAATTTGGGAAACCTGATTTTTTTCAATTTTTTGTATGTTCTAGATAGTAGTCCTATATCTGAGGGACGGTTGGCTAAAATTTTTTCCCACTTTGTGGGTTTTCTTTTCACTAACTTGGTGATTTCTTTTGATATGAAAAACTTTCTAATAAGATGAGATTGTAGTTGCTGATTCTTTGAAGTACTCCCCATGCAATTTGTTTTATGTTCATGAACTCTCTGCCTACCCCTATGTCTTCAAGATTTCTACCCACTTTCTCTTCCAGTAGAGTTAGTCTTTCTGTTTTAATATTTAGATCTTTGATCCATTTTGAGTTTAGTGCATGATGATAGACATGGGGCTAGTTTTAGACTTTGGCATATAGAGAGCCAGTTTTTCCAGCACTATTTTTAAGGAGGCTATCTTTCCTTCAGTAAACATGTTTGGCCCCTTTGTCAAAGAGAAGATGACTGAGTGTGTCTGTAGTTGTGTCTACATTGTGTAATTTGCTCCATTCATCATCTGGTAGGTTTTGTTTGTCGGTACCATGCTGATTTTATCACAGTAGTTTTGTAATATAAAATCAAGGATTTTGAGGTCCTCTGCCTTGCCTTTGTTGCCCAGGATTGTCTTTTCTATTCTAGGCCTCTTTTGTTTTCAAGTGAACTTTGGGAATGTTTTCTCTCAATCTGTGAGGTATGCTAATGGTATTTTGATCAAGATTGCATTAAATCTATGTAACAGTTTTGGGAATATGGTCATTTTCACAGTGTTGGTTCTTCCTATCCATGAACAGAGGTATCTTTGCATTTTACGATATCCTCTTAGATCTCTTTCTTCAGAGTGCTGTGATTTTCAATGTATAAATCTTTTATTTTTTTGTTAGATTGATTCCTAAGTATTTCATTTTGGGAGTACTATCGTGAAGGGTGTGTTTTCACTAATTTCTCTCGGTGAGTTTGTTGTTTGTGTACATGAATGCTATTGATTTCTGCTGACTTTGTATTCAGCTATGCTACTGAATTTGTTAATTATAGCTAGAAGTCTTTTGGTGGAGTTTTAGGAGTCTCCTATATAGAGTAGCATGTCATCTGTGAATAATGATAGTTTAATTTCTTCCTTTCCTATCTTTATTCCTTTTATTTATCTCTCTTGTCTAATTACTTTGGCTAGTGTTTCCCCAACTATGTTGAATAGGAATGATGATAGCAGACATCCTAGTCTTGTTCCTGATTTTAGAGTGAAAAGCTTTTAGTTTCTGTTCATTTAATATGATGTTGGCTATTGGTTTGTCATTTATAGTTTTTATCAGATTGAGGTAAAGACCATATGTTTTGATCTTATATGGGGTTTTTTTTTTATCATGAATTAGTGCCAACTTTGCTAATAGATATTTTATACAGGTGTTAACACAAGTCCAAAAGAAAATCCCAAAAGAATCAACACAGTATTTAAAGGATGCAAATCCTAGAAAAATATATTAATCTGTAATAGTAATAGTTATCTACTGCTCATTATCAATTGTACATGATATTCCCATTTTTATTCAAGCAATACTCAACATGCTACTTGAAGAAATCACAAAATAAAAGTGGCACTCAATAGACGTAAAATTGCTTTCCACATACAAGTGGTCCATATCTGACAGTTGGTGGCACCTGAGAAGGGTATGTTCACTTACAGGTTTACCAGTGGTCTGGACTTACTGGCACACCTTTAAACTAAGGCCAATGACAATTTCTTCATGGAGCTCAGATGCTCTTACAGATTGTCTAGAGCTCAAGAACTTCATATTCTACACAGTCCTCACCACTGAGGTTTTCTCCAACACTAAAAAATATCCTCTATTTCCTTTTATAGGAAAATGCACTATTTAAGCAATAGTATTGATGTAAAGATAATAACACTATCAACTAGTCAATATAAAAATTTTAGAAATCCCCCAAACTGGCAGCTAATTGCAAAATTATTCACAAATTTTAAGTACCTTTTCTCTGACTATAAGTTCTTAGAAGATAGGAACTTACTGCTCAACAAGAAAATACTTTTTCTTGTTGGCAATTTGCTTTATTCTTAACCCCCTCATGCTACTCATAATATAATGAGCTCTTTAGAATCTGTGCTGTCCTTTTAAATTCCCATTTTTTAATTATAGACTGGTAATAAAAATATTTTTATTACCAGAAAAAGCCAAAGCTGGAGAATTAAGTTCAAGTCTAATTTTTTAGCTGAGGATGGTGAGGATCACCTAAGAGTTACATTATTCAGAGGCAGAAAATCACATCAGAGGATGATTCCACTGGTTATAAAGAGGAACTATTTTGTATCCACCTACCTTAAATCTCTGGATCCAAGAGTTCTCAGTAATTACATTCTGTGGAAGGTTAATCCCTTTGTCAGAAGACAATTTCCTTTTATTAATACTTCATCCACTCAAATGTTTGCGGACAGGCAAAATAAGTCAGGAATACTTTTGCATAAATCCTCATTTCCTTTTAGAATGGATATGCAAAATTTAAAAACAAATAATAGGTAATTTTCCTGGATCTGTAGAATAACCTAACAACCATTCCTAAGCTATGCCTGTATCAAGTAACACAATGTGCTGTAGACTGGTATGTACTGTCCATATATCCTATTTATCTCTCTCAAGGAACTTATAAACATCCAGTGGGTAGCCATGAAATATTTTCCCTGAAGTACCTCAACTTTGCACAACAAATTACAACTTAATTTTATGATATTCTTTCTGACCTGGTGTGATCAGCTTTCAGTGAGCAGAGAGCTGACTCTAGTAACAGAATTTATGGAACACTCCCTCCCAAAATACAGATTTTCTAAATCCAGCACTTTTCTCTCTCTCTCTCTCTCTCTCTCTCTCTCTCTCTCTCTCTCTCTCTCTCTCAATCTCTCTCTCTCTTTCTCTCTCTCTCTCTGTCTCTCTGTCTCTCTCTCTCTCTCTCTCTCTCTCTCTCTCTCTCTCTCTCTCTCTCTCTCTCTTTAACTTTTTACTGGAAAACAGTTGCCCAGTTGTGACATTTCCAAGTAACTGCTGCATCTATGCGGGACCATATGACTTGTTCCCATCAGCAGAACCTAGGAGCAAAAGCTTTACTTTCTAACAGGAAAAATTGATGCGAGGAGGCAGTGTCTTTCTTATCCTCTTTCTTTTCTGTCTGATCACTCAATATCCCAAGACCCTCCAAAAATGACCTGATTCTAATTTATAAACGCCTTATTAGGCGTTACATGAGAAATGAGTTCCAACTGTGTAAGTCACTGAACTGACAGAGTTTTAGAGCCATTAGCAAAACCCTGACTAACACACTGACTTTATTAGGTGCATCTGGGAGCACAGTGTCCTTCTTGTCCAGATGGTAACACCAGTCAACAAATGGGGACAAACACATCAATTTTATCATTAAAATTCTCTGTTTATCATGCTCCCATGATCATAGTTAACAAGCTAGGTTATAACTAAGAGCAACCGAAATTCAGGAATGCTTATGGTCAATCTACACATCTAAACGGACTTTATATTCTACCAGTACTGCAGACGCTAAAACTACTGCAGTTGTACCTAACTTTCATTTTCTACATTAAACCACAATTCACTAAGGCTATGAAATTCTAGGGTATTTCCTTGGGGGTCTTTATTTTAAGATGCCAGCAAAACAATTTCTCTCTCCCAATAGTTAGTTCCATGTGAAAGGACTTATTACTTTGTAAGGGAAAAAAGAAAACAACAATCCCTGGGTCCTGGTGTAAAGGATTTTTTTTGGAGACACTTTACAATCTGCAATAAACAAAGTCCTAAAACGTATTCATATGCCCAAGGTTCTGACTAAAAGTAAAGTTATGCTTCCTGTTTAATTTTTAAAAAACATAAGGTATAAATCTATAGCAAGTAAATATTGGTTTAAAAGACAAGATAAATTCAAATGGAAATGCTTTGTATCTGCTTACATGGTAATTAGTGAAAACAGTGCCATATTAAAAGGAAAATGAGCAAGAGATGAGCTATTTATTGATGTAGGACTGAACCATCAGTGCCATGAAAGGATTCAAGAGGAAAGATTCAGCCAGGCATGGTGGTACCGGCCTGGAATCCCAGAAATCTAGGCGATGGAAGCAGCAGGATTATAAGTTGAGCAACTTAGCGTATAGCAAGACACTGACTCAGAATTACAAAGGTCCAGAGGTGCAGCTCAGTGCAAAGACCCCGGGTTCAACCCCAGTACTGAAAGAAAACAGAAAGCTTGAAATGAGAAATGAGTGCATCAAGCTTTTATTTTATATCCTTTTAAAATCGCAACTTGTGACAAGTAGAATGCCTGTGTTTGAGATTCTCATTCTTCACATTAAAGTGTATTTCCAGCTTAGCCAGGGTTGTTAAATCTCAAACATTGCTTACATAGCTCACATTCTCAAGCCTGTCAGCAATTTCACCCTCTTTTAATTTGTGTTATATTCATCAAATAATGAGATCAGATTGCACAAAGAGTTTAGCATAGACAGGTCCTTTCACTTAAAACCACACACACACACACACACACACACACACACACACACACACACACTGTTGGAAAGGTGTATATTTCCATTGAGTTGAGATTATCATATCTATCTACACACACACACACACACACTGTTGGAAAGTTGTATATTTCCACATGTAAAGTCTGTGAAATGGACTTTTCTCAGTAATTGAGGCAAATGACTGATTATTGATTTTCTCGTGGTGCTTTGTAGGAATATATTCTTCATGAAGTTTTCCTTATTTTTCTCTAGTGGATGTATTGTCTCTAGGTATCTTTATGGTACTAATTACACTCTCACTTGTTTTTCTAACTGTTTACACACTTCTTCTCCACGTTAATAGACCACATCTCTGAGCAAGCATCCACATCTGAATCATTGTGGTCCCTCCTGTACTCTGCTATATAATATAACATTGTGTATGTAAAGTCACATTTAAACATGTTAGAAAAGAACATTCACACCTTAGAACTCTATCTGCAGGACTTACTTATCTTATGGCATCCAAGCTTGTGTCCAAATGTCAATAAAGATGAGGAGGCCATTTTTATACCTTGTGTAGCAACTATCTATAACGGAACTCCCTTGGACACTTTCCCAATAAGTCAGCTTTTCTCTCAACAATGCTAGAGGATGACTCTCAAATTAATTTCAGTGGAACTATACCTAGAGCAAAGACCCAAACATTAGCATTTTATAAGTATACAGAGTTAATCGTATTTTTAAACATTATGATTAAACTTTTCCAGTGTTTCTTAATCTAAATCTTACAGTGACATTTGTAAGCCATAATATTGTATTTTTAAATGTTAGCTAAATCCATCACACTGTAGCCTAGTCTAAAAGAAAGAAATCATTGGGAATAAGCTCAGAATGCTTTTACCCTTACTTGAAGTTCTAAATAGCAACCTAGCAAATTCTCATTTATTTAATTTATCACAGGCCAAATTGGGTTGGTTGGTTGGTTGGTTGATTTCAGTAGTGTAGTTTGAACTAGGGGCTCATGCATGTTAGGCAAGTATTCTATTATTGAGCTATATCCCCAGCTCTTTTCAATTTATTTTTGAGACAGGATCTTTTTAATCAAGGCTAGCCTTGAACTTGCGATCATTTAGTTTCAGGCTACAAAGTAGCTGAGATTTCAGGTGTGTGGCATTGTGCCTAGCTCAGTGCATCACTGTGCAAAATTTAAGAACAAAATAAAAATAGTCTTTATTTTGTTACTAAAAATTGAGTTGACAGACTGTAATATGGAAAGAGTTTGATTAAAAACAAACCTGTAAACAAGATTTATGATGCTAGACTCAATGTAGGCCTCCTAATTTAGATTTCACAGAGAATCAACAAAATATTCACAGAGAATCAACAAAGTACTTTAAAAAAGACAAAGTATTTTTTCTTTGAGAGATGACACCATTCTGGGTTTTCTAAGGAAAAATATCTCCCTTTTTGTATATGAAGTATTCTTGAGCCTCTCTCACTGGAGATGGCATTGGGTTTCTTCTCCATTCAGTTTCTAAGAGAACATTTGAATTTTAACAAGGTTATCTATTTGGAGGTAAAGCCGTGTAGCAACATACAAATGAAGATTTTCTGAGACGTTCTTGGATGTCTAAATGTGCAAAAATTCTTTTAAGAATAATATATTCAAAGTTAAGAGAAGATGTTACTTGTGTATTTAAGGTGGGGTCTCAGAGGGGCCAGAAAGTTTCTAGAAGATAAAGACTTTCATGCAGCAGTTACAAGATACAGTTATGACACCAGGTACATGCTTAGATGAATTTTTACTTCTGAGTTTTCATCAAAGTGCTTCTCACTGACTGGCGTTCTCTACTTCAGAAAGGTTTAAAATGTGAACCATAGGTGGGTGTGGTGGGTAAAGATGAGGGAACTGACAGGTTTGTGTGGGAACGTACACACTGTCAGACTACCTTTATAAAATGGGAAAAGGCACTTTATAAAATAGGAGACTCTGACTCAAAAAGTATACAGATTCAACAAAGGACTCAAAATGTTGCTATCACCTTCTAAGCTGCTTTCAGCTTGTGATTCACAATTCCCTCTTAAGGTTCTTCTGTGATTCTGTGGCCAAAAACAACTTCCTGGTACCTGCAGCACATTGCTGGCCTGATCAAGCACCACGGAAAGCTAGCACCCACGTCACTATTCGCAGTGGCTTTCTCTCCCGGTCTCCAGCACCTATTCAGACACCGATCAGGGGCATCCAAACTAGCACTCCAAAGAGAACCAAGCTCAATTTTCACTGATACACTTAAAAATCTGTCATGGGCTTTCTGTCATTCCTAGAGACTCAGAAGACTTGTGGAAGAACTGCTGCAGGGATGGGTGGAGGGAAGAATCAACAGTTTTGTTTTGGTCATTGTGAAGTTAGGAATGAGATGATGATCAGAAATAAAATAGCTAAGTTGGGTAGACAATTGGCTACATAAGTCCAAAATCATGCTGAGAGATGCCATGAACCAGCAGTTCAGAGACGGGATTTGAAGCTA